TCTCCATTTATAAGCGTGCGCACATTCACGGGCGCATTGCGTCCTTCGTCCCCTCCATCTTGACCCCAGGCGATGGCGCTTGGGTGAGCAAAGAAATATGTCAACAAAACTTTGTTTCTCACTCGTCATGCGACTTCATCATGTCGGCCTCCTCTCGACTCGATTTTCGGCAACCAGTCTATCACGCCGTCTGCGTGGGTGTTTTGTCTGTGCACCCATCCAAGTCACATGCGCCTGCGTGTGTGACCTAACGTTTGCTGAGTCACATACCACTTGGTTCTGTCTGAGCTGGTCATATGCCGCTGACGGTCCGCCCGTTACCCACGCCGAACCGCTGTCAAGATTATACAAAGTTCGATTGCTGCATATTGGCTGGTAGAAAAAATTGTTATCTGGTGTATGGAAAAGGTCATTTGATAGGAGAATAGAGCTTAAATGAGTGAAGCGCGAACAAAAAGGACAAAGCGACTATGGGTGAACACGAGGAAGCCTTGGGGTAGCAGTGGTGGCAATGGTAGCAGTAGCAGTAGTACTGGTAGGAGCGGCACTAGCAGCTACGGCAACATTATAAGAGGAGACAGCAACAGCAGCAACAGCAGCGGCAACAACAGTTGCAGAAGTAGTAGTGATAGCGTACTTAGCATTATTATTGGAGGTTATAAGAGTATTACTAGTAGTACTATAAATACTAGTAGATACAGTAAAAATAGCGCCAAAACGATTAATAGTGACACAATTAATTGTGGCAGTAGTATAAATAGCGGCACCAGTAGCAACGGGAGCAATACTAGTAGTAGTAGCACGATAATCAGTGGTTACAGTAGTGGTAGCAGCCGTGACAGTAAAAGCAGTAGTGCTGCTAAGAATAGTAGATTTAGTGATAGTAATGGCAGTAGTATTAGCTGTAATAACAGTGTCGGCGGTAGTGGTAACACCAGTAATGGTAGAAGTAGCTCTACTGACAATGGTTATGGTAGCAGTAGTAGTAGTAGTAGTGGTGGTAGTAGTCGTAATAGTAGTAGTAGTCGTAGTAGTAGTAGTAGTAGTAGTGGTGGTGGTAGTAGTAGTAGTAGTAGTAGTAGTAGTAGCTGTGAAACCGGTAATAGTAGTGGCCGCAGTGGTCAGACGATCAGCAGCAGTAGTGGGCGTAGAAGTAGTATTAGCCGTATTCGTACTGGCGGTAGTACTAGGAGCAGTATCCATAGCAGTAGGTTCACTAGTAGTAATGGCAGTATTGGTGGTATCGACAGATGTAAAAGTAGTGGCATAAGCGGCAGTATTGGCATTGGTAAAAGTATAATTATCGGTAGTCATATAATTAGTACTATTGGCAGTGACTAAGACAGTAGTAGTAACGGTAATAATAGTAGTAGAGGCTGTAGAAGTAACGATATCAAGACTGGTTGTACTAGTAGCAGTATTAGTAATATTAGTAATTGTGTTACTGTCAGAAGTGATAGTGGTGGTAGCAGCGGCGAGAAATGCATGTTAGTAGTAGTAGCAGCAGCAGTAGTAAAGTGATATCATTAGTATCGGATGTCGTAGAAGAAGCAGATGAAGCAATAATGGCAGTATTACTGGAAGTAGTACGCGTGTCAGTAGCAATATTAAAATGGATGACAGAAGTTCTAGCAGCAGTACTAAAAGCTGCAGGAGCAGCAGCAGCAGCAGCAGTGCCAATTGTGATGGTATTATAAGTGCTTGAAGGGACAGTTGCAAATATATTAGCAGTAGCAGCAGCTGTAGTAGTAGTAGTAGTAGTAGTAGTAGTAGTAGTAGTAGTAGTAGTAGTAGTAGTAGTAGTAGTAGTAGTAGTAGTAGTAGTAGTAGTAGTAACAGCATTAGTAGCATTAATAATAGTGGTGGTGGCACAAATGGCAACACGGCAACAGTGGTGACAGAACTAGCATGAGTGGCAGTAATAGCAGAAGCAGCAGTAGCATAGGTATGGTAACAGCGGTTGCAGCAGCAGCAACAGCAATAGTAGTAATAATAATATTCGTATTAGTGCGCGAATAAGAAGTAGTAGCTGTGGCATTACTGGGAGTAATGCCTGCAGCAGTAGCAACGACAGTCGTTGTCTCATCAGTAGTAATAGTAGGAAACTCACCAGGGGTAGGAGTAGAAGAATAGTGGAATTCAAAGTAGCAACGGTAGGGGAAGTAGTAAAATTGATATTTAAACTTTCCCTTAATACATACCTCATTCAACACATAAAATTCGGAACAAGAATGAGAGAAGGACAACGATCTAACTGTTTAGATCTCGTTTTCAGTAAAGAAGAAGGAGTCATAAGAGAAGTGGATCCACAACCTCGACTCGGTTTAGGCGATCATACTGCTTTTACCTGCGTGTGCTCTCTCCTATCCAACCAACAACCAAAAATCAAAAGACGCAGAAATTATTTGGAAGGGTGGCTTTAACGCAATGAGACATACTCTTTTGAAGGAAACATGGCTGGTCAACATAGAAGATTCAAAAGAATTCTGGCAGTACTTTCGCGGGATTATAGAGCGTCTAATTGACTCCCGTTGTCCAATAAAAATAACAAGACCATGTGCGCGACCGCCGTGGGTCAATCCGATGACAAAAAAGACCATAAAGAAGAAACAGAGACTGTGGAAAAAGTATTTGCAACTTCGAGATCCAATGTCATTCGCCGAATATAAGGATCAACGCAATAAATGCCGCAAACAAATACGGGTGGTTAAAACTTCCTTCGAGCGCCGACTGACAGCCAAATCCATTACATGTCCCAAGAAGTTTTACGGGTACATCCGCAGTAGGAGGAAACATAGGGACGAAATTGCCTGTCTAAAGGATAGCCTCGGAAACTTATTAGTTGAAGGGCCCCAGAAAGTGCAATTACTGTCTCAGTTTTTTCAATCGGTTTTTACGGAGGAGTCCTCAGAAGACAATCAGCAGTTTCAAATGGACCAAAACAGCCGGGAGCTTCAAATGCGCCAAGAATCTGCTGTCATTGAAACCGTTGAATTTTCGTCGAAGAAGTAAGACGTGTCCTCAGTCAAATAAAACCAGAGAAGTCACCTGGACCCGACGGAATTCCTGGGCTGATACTTAAGGAACTATCAACGGAGCTTTCAAAACCTCTTTCGACTCTCTTTGAGCTGTTAATGAGAACAAGAAGACTGCCATCATAATGGAAGACAGCTAACCCCGTTCCCTTACATAAGGGAGTTAGCAGGATGGCAGCAAGCAGCTTCAGGCATATTAGCTTCACTTGCCTCCCATGCAAAACAATGGAAGCTCTAGTAAAGAGCGCTATACAGCAGTTTTGTGAAGAAAATAACATCTTGCAGGATTTTCAACATGGATTCCGGAGAGGACGTTCCTGCCTCTCAAATCTGCTAGTTTGTCTGGAGATCTGGACCAGGGCTCTAAAAGAGGGTTTTGAGGTCGATGTCGTGTGCATCGATTTCCGCCAAGCCTTCGATACCGTTCCGCACCAGCGCCTTCTTCACAAATTGAGCGCCATCGGCATCGGGGGAGATCTTCTGAACCGGATAAGGGCGTTTCTGGTTGGTCGGAAACAACGTGTCTGTATCGGAGATGATATGTCAGAATGGGTGAACGTGACCAGTGGTGTGCCTCAAGGCTCAGTTCTGGGACCATTGCTCTTCATCCTTTATGTTAATGACAGCCTTCAGGAACTCGACTGCGGCAAAATAATGTTTGCAGACGACGTTAAGCTCCGGCAAGTCATTAAGGGTCCGAATGATCAGAGATCTCTTCAAGATAATCCGCACCGACTGCAAGCGTAGTCGGAGAAATGACTTCTACAATTCAATGTGGAGAAGTGTGCCGTCCTTCATCTGCGTCTAACCAACTCTCATTCAAATGAGAGTCTGAGGACATATCACCTGAAAGATATAAGGCTCCCCGCAGAATCTCCGCAGAAGGACCTCAGGGTTTGGATACAGAACAACCTGAAACCATCACTGCAGTGCCACAAGGCCGAAAAAATCGCCATGGGAGTGCTGCATGCAATAAAAAGGGCTTTCGAAAATTTTGACCAAGACTTTTTTGGGAGAGTTTACGGCACATTTGTTCGGCCTCACTTAGAATATGGCATACAAGCATGGCGGCCATGGCTGGTAAAGGACCAAGAATTCCTCGAACGTGTACAACGGCGTGCAACAAAGCTGGTAAACGGTCTAAAAAGCCATTCCTACACAGACAGACTGAATTGCCTTAATTTATTCCTTCTGTGTTACAGGCAGCAAAGAGGTGATCTTATCCTCGTCCACAAGATAATTCATGGCCTTGAGCATGGACTTAGCTTTGAGGATATGTTTCAGTGGCACCTTTCACCCAATTTTCGTGGTCACTCGATGAAGTTACGGAAAACAATGTCCAGGCTGAATCTTCGTTCTGAATTATTCACGTAGAGGGTAGTGGAGAAATGGAACAATCTCCCTCAGGCAGTCGTGGAGGCGACGTCTTTGCAACTCTTCAAAAAATGCTTGGATGATTATTTGTGTCCCCTGTTTTCCCTCGGCAGTCTGAATCTGAACTAATACCCCACGGCCAGGCAAATGTTTTCTATAAGACAATGCTACTCAAATGAATCAAGTACTGTTTATATAGCGAATATTTTCATTGTTCGTGTACATTTATTTCTAACGGGCTGACATGTAATCAATAGGGTTTTCAAAGGCTTTGCCTATTATCCTTACCATTTAAACTGAAATATAAACTGAAACTGAAACGGTAGCAGCAGCAGCAGCAAATTTGATAATTGCATTAGTGGCAGCAGTAGCAGTGGCTGTGGCAATAAAAGTTGTACTAACAGCAGCAGTACCAGTAGTGATACTGGCAGGATTTGCTATGCAGTTGCAAGGTTAATGCTACTAGTGATTTTAGCAGTAATTTTATTAATACTATCAACAGCAGCAGTAGTAGTGGTAGCATAAACTGCAAGAGTATTAGAAATAGTAATAATAAAAACAGAACCATCAGCATTAGTAGCACTGGCAGAACTAGCCGCAAAATCAGAAACAGTGCAAACAGTAAGCACAGTAGTGGTAGCAACTGTGGTACTAGTTGTTGTAAAAGTACTAAAAGTAACAGTAATAGTACTCGCATCAGGAACAGTAGTAGTAAATATAAGAGGAGCAAAGGTAGTAAGGACAGTAGTAATATTGATGACAGAAGTGATTGCAATGGTAGCAGCAGCGGCAGTAGCGGCAGAAAGTAATGACAGTAGTAGTCGATTTAGTAGAAGTAGTAATAGTAGTATTAACATCAGCAGTTGTTTTGTGGCAGTAGTAGTAGGCAATATTAACAGTAGAAACCGTAGCGGCGTTAATATTCGTAGCACCTGCAATAGTTATGGTAAGGTTGCGGCAGTAGTTGTAGTAGTGTTTTAGTAATAATAATAGTAGCCGTAGTATTTATGCTCGCAGCGGCAGCAGCAAAAGTGCTGGTATTAATAACAGTAGTTGCGGCAACAGCGGTCCCAGCTTTACTAGGAGTGATAGCAGTAGTAGTGGCACCAATAATAAAATAATGGTGGCAGTAATAATAGTACAGGTAGTGTTAGGGCCAGCCGTATTGATAGCAGCAGCAGCAGCAGTGGTAGCAAGGTTAACAGTGGTAATGGTAGTAATAGCAACAGTGGCAGCAGTAGTAGCAACGGTTGTAGTAGTAATAGTAACAATATTACCGGGACTTGGAGTATTAACAGCAGCCTCGGTGTTTTAAATATAAGTAGTAGTGGTTGTAGTAACGGTATAAGCTATAGTAACGGCAGCGGTACCAGCATAAGAAGGGGAAGGAAAGGAATATAAGGACGCTTAGACTGAACAGGAGATAGATGAGAGGAGATAGGACTGAAAGCGTAGGGGTGAAAACGTTAAAAATGAGTAAAAGGAAGCCCAAGGAGATAAAGAGGAAGAATAATACACTCGATTGCTTACGGTGCATAAGACGGAGATATGAGTGGAGAGAAGGGCATAAAAATGAAATGTCCTTTATAACGACAGCGAGAACGACTATTACGAAGATGAGAAGGCAGAGCAAGAAGAGGGCGTACAGCGAGATACATAAATTCAGTCGAATTAGCCATTAGGGAGAAGAAAGTAGGGCAACAGCAGGATGGTACGCAATACAATATAGCCCATTAGTTGAGCAGGCACTAGCGACCGTTTACGCATGCACAAAAATCCGCAAGCGTTAGAGAGAAAACTATATCGCAAGTTGAAGCAGAGGTCTGTACTTGAGGGCTGCGTACACCACAGAGTCCCGGACCCTCATCCGAAAGTTAATTTGTAGCTGGTGTCAGAGTGGAATGA